CTCGTCAACTGGAGAGTGAGTACTTTTTCCTTTATATTTTTACTACGCCAACGCCCAACGCCAACGGCCCAACGCCAATGCCCAACGCTCAACGCCCAACGCCCTACGCCAACGCCCAACGCCAATGCCCAACGCTCAACGCCCAACGCCAACGTCCAACGCCCTACGCCAACGCACAATGCCCACCCCCAACGCCAACGCCCTACGCCAACGCCCCAACGCCCATCGCCCAACGCCAACGCCCAACGCCAACGCCCAAAACCAACGCCTTACGCCCAACGCCAACGCCCAACGCCAAGATCCAACGCCCTACGCCAACGTCCAACGCCCAACGCCAACGCCCAACGCCAACGCCCAACGCCAACGCCCAACGCCAATGCCCAACGCTCAACGCCCAACGCCAACGTCCAACGCCCTACGCCAACGCACAATGCCCACCCCCAACGCCAACGCCCAACGCCCTACGCCAACGCCCCAACGCCCAACGCCAACGCCCAAAACCAACGCCTTACGCCCAACGCCAACATCCAACGCCCTACGCCAACGCCCAACGCCAATGCTCAACGCCAACGCCCAACACCAACGCCCAACGCCAAGATCCAACGCCTTACGCCCAACGCCAACGCCCAACGCCAAGATCCAACGCCCTACGCCAACGTCCAACGCCCAACGCCAACGCCCAACGCCAACGCCCAACGCCAACGCCCAACGCCAATGCCCAACGCTCAACGCCCAACGCCAACGTCCAACGCCCTACGCCAACGCACAATGCCCACCCCCAACGCCAACGCCCAACGCCCTACGCCAACGCCCCAACGCCCAACGCCAACGCCCAAAACCAACGCCTTACGCCCAACGCCAACATCCAACGCCCTACGCCAACGCCCAACGCCAATGCTCAACGCCAACGCCCAACACCAACGCCCAACGCCCAACGCCAACGCCCAACACCAACGCCCAACGCCAACATCCAACGCCCTACGCCAACGCCCAACGCCCTACGCCAACGTCCAACGCCCAACGCCCAACGCCAACGCGCCAGTGCCCAACGCCCTACGCCAACGCACAATGCCAACGCCCAACGCCCTACGCCAACGCCCCAACGCCCATCGCCCAACGCCAACGCCCAACGCCAACGCCCAAAACCAACGCCTTACGCCCAACGCCAACGCCCAACGCCAACGCCCAACGCCCTACGCCAACGCCCAACGCCAATGCTCAACGCCCTACGCCCAACGCCAACGCCCAACGCCCCAACGCCCAACACCAACGCCCAACGCCAACATCCAACGCCCTACGCCAACGCCCAACGCCCTACGCCAACGTCCAACGCCAACGCCAACGCCCAACGCGCCAGTGCCCAACGCCCTACGCCAACGCCCAACGCCAACGCCCCAACGCCAACGCCCTACGCCAACGCCCAACGCCCAACGCCAACGCCCAACGCCAACGCCCTACGCCAACGCCCAATGCCCAACGCCAACGCCCTACGCCAACGTCCAACGCCCAACGCCAACGCCCCAACGCCCATCGCCCAACGCCAACGCCAACGCCCTACGCCAACGCCCCAACGCCCTACGCCAACGCCCAACGCCCTACGCCAACGTCCAACGCCTTACGGCAACGCCCAACGCGCCAGTGCCCAACGCCCTACGCCAACGCCCAACGCCAACGTCCAACGTCCTACGCCAACGCCCAACGCCCAACGCCCAACGCTCTACGCCAACGTCCAACGCCTTACGGCAACGCCCAACGCCCTACGCCAACGCCCAGCGCCAACGCCCCAACGCCCAACGCCCAACGCCAACGCCCAACGCCCTACGCCAACGCCCAACGCCCAACGCCAACGTCCAACGTCCTACGCCAACGCCCTACGCCAACGCCCAACGCCCAACGCTCTACGCCAACGTCCAACGCCTTACGGCAACGCCCAACGCCCACCGCCAACGCCCAACGCCAACGCCCAACGCCCAACGCCAACGCCAACGCCCAACGCCAATGCCAACGCCCAACGCCAATGCCCAACGCTCAACGCCCAACGCCCAACGCCAACGCCCAACGCCCAAGGCGTCAATGCCCAACGCCTAACGCCCAACGCCAACGCCCAACGCCAACGCCAACGCTCAACGCCAACGCCCAACGCCAACGCCCAACGCCAATGCCTAACGCTCAACGCCAGCGCCCAACGCCAACGCCCAACGCCAACGCCCAACGCCAACGCCCTACGCCAACGCTCAACGCCAACGCCCAACGCCAACGCCCAACGCCAATGCCTAACGCTCAACGCCAACGCCCAATGCCCAACGCCACCGCCCAACGTCAACGCCCAATGCCCAACGCCACCGCCCAACGTCAACGCCCAACGCCCAACGCCAACGCCCTACGCCAACGCCCAACGCCCCACGCCAACGCCCTACGCCAACGCCCTACGCCAACGCCCTACCCCAACGCCCAACGCCAATGCCCAACGCCAACGCCCAACGCCAACGCCCAATGCCCTACACCCAACGCCCAACGCAAAGCCCAACACCAACGCCAACGCCCTACGCCAACGTCCTACGCCCAATGCCCAACGCCAACACCCAACGCCCAACGCCAACGCCCAACGCCAACGCCCATCGCCCAACGCCAACGCCAACCCCCAACGCCAACGCCCAATGCCCTACACCCAACGCCCAACGCTCAACGCCCAACGCCAATGCCCAACGCTCAACGCCAACGACCAACGTCAACGCCCAACGCCAATGCCTAACGCTCAACGCCAACGCCCAATGCCCAACGCCACCGCCCAACGCCAACGCCCAACGCCCAACGCCCTACCCCAACGCCCAACGCCAATGCCCAACGCCAACGCCCAACGCCAACGCCCAACGCCAACGCCCAACGCCCAACGCCCAACGCCAACGCCCAACGCCAACGCACAACGCCAACGCCCTACGCCAACGTCCAACACCCTACGCCCAACGCCCAACGCCCAACGCCAACGCTCAACGCCCTACGCCAATGCCCAACGCTCAACGCCCAACGCCCTACGCCCAACGCCCAACGCCAATGCCCAACGCTCAACGCTCAACGCCCAACGCCAACGCCCAACGCCAACGCCCAATGCCAACGCCCAACGCCCAAGGCGTCAATGCCCAACGCCTAACGCCCAACGCCAACGCCCAACGCCAACACCAACGCCCAACGCTCAACGCCAACGCCCAACGCCAACGCCCAACGCCAACGCCAACGCCCAACGCCAATGCCTAACGCTCAACGCCAACGCCCAACGCAAAGCCCAACGCCCAACGCCAACGCCCAACACCAACGCCCTACGCCAACGCCCAACGCCCAATGCCCAACGCCCAACGCGCCAATGCCCAACGCCAATGCCCAACGCTCAACGCCCTACGCCCAACGCCAACGCCCAACGCCAACGCCCAACGCCAATGCCCAACGCTCAACGCCCAACGCCCTACGCCCAACGCCAACGCCCAACGCCAATGCCCAACGCTCAACGCCCTACGCCCAACGCCAACGCCCAACGCCCAACGCCAACGCACAACGCCAACGCCCAACGCCAACGCCCTACCCCAACGCCCAACGCCAATGCCCAACGCCAACGCCCAACGCCAACGCCCAACACCAACGCCAACATCCAACGCCCAACGCCCTACGCCAACGCCCAACGCCCTACCCCAACGTCCAGCGCCCTACGCCCAACGCCCTACGCCCAACGCCCAACGCCAACGCCCAACGCCAACGCCCAACGCCAACGCCAACGCCCAACGCCAACGCCCATCGCCCAACGCCAATGCCCAACGCTCAACGCCCTACGCCCAACACCCAACGCCAATGTCCAACGCTCAACGCCCTACGCCCAACGCCAACGCCCAACGCCAACGCCCAACGCCAACGCCCAACGCCAACGCCCAACGCCAATGCCTAACGCTCAACGCCAACGCCCAATGCCCAACGCCCAACGCCAACGCCCAACGCCAACGCCCAACGCCAACGCCCAACGCCAACGCCCTACGCCAACGCTCAACGCCCCTCGCCAACGCCCAACGCCAACGACCAACGTCAACGCCCAACGCCAATGCCTAACGCTCAACGCCAACGCCCAATGCCCAACGCCACCGCCCAACGCCAACGCCCAACGCCAACGCCCAACGCCAACGCCCAACGCCCAACGCGAACGCCCTACGCCAACGCCCAACGCCAATGCCCAACGCCCAACGCCCAACGCCAACGCCCAACGCCCAACGCCAACGCCCAACGCCAACGCCCCAACGCCCAACGCCCAAGGTTCAACGCCCAACGCCCAACGCCAACGCCCAACGCCCAACGCCAACGCCCAACGCCCAACGCCAACGCCCAATGCCCTACACCCAACGCCTAACGCCCAACGCCAACGCCCAACGCCCTACGCCAACGCCAACGCCCAACGCCAACGCCCAACGCCAACGCCCAACGCCAACGCTCAACGCCCTACGCCAATGCCCAACGCTCAACGCTCAACGCCCAACGCCCAACGCCCAACGCCAATGCCCAACGCTCAACGCCCAACGCCAACGCCCAACGCCCAACGCCAACGCCCAATGCCCAACGCCAACGCCCAACGCCCAAGGCGTCAATGCCCAACGCCTAACGCCCAACGCCAACGCCCAACGCCAACGCCAACACCAACGCCCAACGCTCAACGCCAACGCCCAACGCCCAACGCCAACGCCCAACGCCAACGCCCAACGCCAACGCCCAACGCCAATGCCTAACGCTCAACGCCAACGCCCAATGCCCAACGCCCAACGCCAACGCCAACGCCCAACGCCAACGCCCAACGCCCAACGCCAACGCCCAACGCCAACGCCCAATGCCCTACACCCAACGCCCAACGCCAACGCCCAACGCCAACGCCCAACGCAAAGCCCAACGCCAACGCCCAACACCAACGCCAACACCAACGACCAACGACCAACGCCCTACGCCAACGCCCAACGCCAACGCCCAACGCGCCAATGCCCAACGCCAATGCCCAACGCTCAACGCCCTACGCCCAACGCCAACGCCAATGCCCAACGCTCAACGCTCAACGCCCAACGCCCTACGCCCAACGCCAACGCCCAACGCCCAACGCCAATGCCCAACGCTCAACGCCCTACGCCCAACGCCAACGCCCAACGCCCAACGCCCAACGCCAACGCCCAACGCCAACGCACAACGCCAACGCCCTACGCCAACGTCCAACACCCAACGCCCAACGCCCAACGCCCAACGCCCAACGCCCAACGCCAACGCCCAACGCCAACGCCCAACGCCCAACGCCAACGCCAACGCCCAACGCCCAACGCCAACGCCCAACGCCAACGCCCAACGCCAACGCCCAACGCCAACGCCCAACGCCAACGCCCAACGCCCAACGCCAACGCCAACGCCCAACGCCAACGCCCAACGCCCAAGGCGTCAATGCCCAACGCCCAACGCCAACGCCCAACGCCAACGCCCAACGCCAACGCCCAACGCCCAACACCAACGCCCAACGCCAACGCCAACGCCCAACGCCGAACGCCAACGCCCAACACGAGCACAAACACGAACACGAGCACGAACACGAGCACGAACACGAGCACGAGCACGAACACGAGCACGAGCACGAACACGAGCACGAGCACGAACACGAACACGAGCACGGACGCGAGCACGAACACGAGCACGAACGCGAGCACGAGCGCGAACACGAGCGCGAGCACGAGCGCGAGCACGAGCACGAGCAGGAGCACGAACACGAGCACGAGCGCGAGCACGAGCACGAACACGAGCGCGAACACGAGCACGAGCGCGAGCACGAACGCGAGCGCGAGCGCGAGCACGAACACGAGCACGAGCACGAGCACGAACACGAGCACGAGCACGAACACGAGTACGAGCACGGGCGCGAACACGAGCACGAGCACGAGCGCGAACACGAACACGAGCACGAACACGAACACGAGCGCGAGCACGAGCATGAGCACGAACACGTGCACGAGCACGAGCACGAACACGAGCACGAGCACGAACACGAGCACGAGCACGAACACGAGCACGGACGCGAGCACGAGCACGAACACGAGCACGAACACGAGCACGAACACGAGCACGAGCGCGAGCGCGAGCACGAGCGCGAACACGAGCACGAGCGCGAGCACGAACGCAAACGCGAGCGCGAGCACGAGCACGAGCACAAGCACGAGCGGGAGCACGAGCACGAACACGAGCACGAACACGAGCGCGAGCGCGAGCACGAGCACGAACACGAACACGAGCGCGAGCACGAACACGAGCACGAGCACGAACGCGAGCACGAACACGAGCACGAGCACGAGCACGAGCACGAACACGAGTACGAGCACGAGCGCAAGCGCGAGCACGAGCACGAGCGCGAGCACGAGCACGAGCGCGAGCACGAACACGAGCGCGAGCACGAACACGAGCGCGAACACGTGCACGAGCACGGGCGCGAACACGGGCGCGAGCACGAGCACGAACACGAGCACGAACACGAACACGAGCGCGAGCACGAGCACGAGCACGGGCACGAGCACGAACACGAGCACGAACACGAGCACGAACACGAGCACGAACACGAGCACGAAGACGAGCACGAGCACGAACTCGAGCACGAGCACGAGCACGAGCGCGAGCACGAGCGCGAGCACGAGCACGAGCGCGAGCACGAGCGCGAGCACGAGCACGAGCACGGACACGAACACGAACACGAACACGGACACGAACACGAGCACGAGCACGAGTACGAACACGAACACGAACACACGCTCGCTTTCGCGTTCGCGTTTGAGTTCGCGTTCGAGTTCGCGTTCGCGTTCGCGTGTTTGTGTTTGTGTTCGCGTGTTTGTGTTTGTGTTCGCGTGTTTGTGTTTGTGTTCGCGTGTTTGTGTTTGTGCTCGCGTGTTTGTGTTCGCGTGTTTGTGTGTACGCGTGTTTGTGTTTGTGTTCGCGTGTTTGTGTTTGTGCTCGTGCTCGTGCTCGTGTGTGCGTGTGTACGTGTTTTGCGTGTGTGCGTGTGTGCGTGTGTGCATGAGTGCGTGCGTGCGTGCGTGTCTCAGCGCTCCACCTGGTGTGTGAAAGTTTATTGATCGTATTAAAAAAATCCACTTATAAATAAGCAACACCATTTTGATACATACATTGTTTTTCTTTTTAAAACCCACACTGCACTTTTTTGTATCTGAACAAGGTGTTCAAAATGTCGTCCTCCACGTTCCACCCAAGCTGCATTACTACGAACCCAGTTTCTTCTTACTCTAGGTCCTCGATGTTGTCCATTTATTATTTCAGCCGCATTAAAATTTTTTTCGCGAAGTTATGCTTCAGTTGTTATTGGACCAGCCTCATAAACCATCCCTTTAAGTTCTCCCCAATACCAGAAATCAATCGGATTGAGGTCAGGAGATCTTGTTGGCCATCTTCGAAGATCAGGAGCATTTTGACCGATCCAGCGATTTGGATAATGTTCATTCAAATACTGAATGTCGCCTCTAAAAATGTGTGGTGGTGCCCCGTCATGAAGAAACCACAAATTCTGTCTCCGTTGTAATGGCATGTTGTCTAAGGTCTGTTCCAAAAGTTCTGGCAGGTTTTTGGCTAGAAGGCTAAGGTGTCCTTCTCCTGGCAACTTTGGGGGTAACTCGAAATGGCCAATTGCCAGATCAGAGGAATACCCGCCCAAATATTCGTTTTAAAACGTTGTTGGAAATCACCTTCACGAATGGTATGAGGATTTTCTTGGGCCTACGTGCGAGTATTATGGAAATTTAATATGACGTCTCGCGTAGAAGTACGTTCGTCCGTCGCTAGAATGTTTTTAAAAAAATCCGGGTTTTCAATGTTTTTGTGCAAAAACCACTGACAGAATGTTAGTCTGCGAGGATAGTCTTCTGGTAACAAGGCCTGCACTCGTTGTACATGGTAGGGATAAAGGAACTTTTCCCGTAGGATTCTATGGACTATGGTATGTGATAGTCCTACGCGGCGGCCTAATTCCCGAGTGCTGATATCTGCATTGATTTCCACGATATTTAAAATTTGTTCCTTCTGCTCTACAGTAACCTGTCTTTCACGAGTGCGAATATTAGTGGGCTGAACACTTCCTGTATTTCGAAGTCTTTGGTACACTTGCACAAATGTCCTTCTGCCTTGCTGTATCCGTTGGCGAAATCTGTCGCGATAAATTTGAGCTGCACGATTTGAATTCTTCACCGTAAACTAACAACATGTCGGCGAACTCTTGATTCGAGAACATTGTAAATAAACACGACGACGTACGCGAACAAAAACAAAACAACACGCCCGATGCCCGATAACTAACCACTGTTACCGTCTGCGATCGATTGCAGGTTCGATAAAACTGATGAAAAACCGACGCGCTACATGAACCTGCATAACTTACACGAGTGGCACGTAGCAAACCCACATTTGATGAGAGAAGATAAATCTCAATATCGCTTCAAGATAAACCATTGGACAGGAATTTTAAATGGTAAAATAATCGGTCCGTTTGAGTTCCCAGAGACTTTGACTGCTGAGGTTTATTTAGGTTTTTTGCAAAATCATTTAGAAAATTTATTGGAGGACGTGCCACTGAGTATTTACAGGGATATGTGGTTTCAGCATGATGGCTGCCCTGCGCACTATGCACTCTCAGTGAGAGAGTATCTCGATCAAAACTTTCCAGGCAGATGGATAGGGCGGTCTGGTACAATACCGTGGCCAGCCCGGTCACCAGATTTCAATCCGTTAGATTTTTTTTACTGGGGAACTGTAAAAGAAAAAGTGTATTTCAGGTCGATTCAAAATGTAGCTGAGCTACGGCAAAGACTATTGGAAGCAGCTGAGTTTGTTAATAACCGTGAATTCGCTCGTTTAATAACCCGATCTTTTTTAAGAAGATGTCGAGCGTGTATTGCGGCTGAAGGAAAACAGTTTGAGCATTTGCTGTAAAGGTAAATCATCATCAGCAGCATTTTGACGCCCACTGTTGTGCAAACAGTTATCCTTAAGGGTCCTTGTGCGTTTTCATAATCGCTGTTTAATTAGGAAATTTTGAAAAATTTTCATCAGTTTTTTTTCAAATAAGAATTGTGCATAAGTTAACGAGTAATCTTCTAAGTGTTATACCATTTTGGAATCGTTAATAAATGCGCCAACTTTTAAGGTTACTTGCCAAACTCTAGTAGTACATTTTTTCCAGTACAGCCAGTTAAAGTTGAGCAAAGTTTTACTTTGGAATACTTGGTTGGGAAATAAGTGGCAATTTTTCCTGAACGAGAAAAGTTGGCAGTAAGGTTGAGGCACCAGTTTGAAGACGCATTATTCATCATTACATTGTAAAATAAAATCCAAAAAAAGTTAATATTTGTAGTAACAGGAGTTGACAGACTGCCGTAGGGTGTGAAATTTCTATATTTTTTTCAAAGACCTATAATTTTCAAAACACATACATAAAATTTTTTAAATATTTTTCTGATAGCTGTTATGACTTTGTCTATCACCCGGTTTCGGCTTAACGTCGACTTCTGGGACACCCTGTATAAAATATTTTTACTTGTTATTAGGAAGTCGAAATTTCCGCATCTTTCCCTCTATTTAAAGTGTCACAAGTTGTCAATGTAACTATAACATATTCAAATTCCGAAAAATTCGCTGGTTTCTGAAATTTGCTAGTTTTCAACAATCTGACCACCAAGTTGGATACTGCGAGATCCTTCACACTTTGGCTCCGGTAAGTGGGTGGAGAGCGTTATCGAATAATTTTTTCATCGGATTTCCATATTATCTCGTTCATTTTTTGAACAATCTCAAATTTTTTTTTATCGACATATTGTTTACATGTCAAGAGCCATCCAAAACGTGACAAAAAAGTTAGAAAATCGAATCATCGGCCACATACAAACAACATAAAAAAGTGAAGAAACCACGTTAAGGCTTAGAATAAAATATTTTGTATATAAAATGCTGCTGTATATCTCGGCGAACATCATGAGCGACTACCTACCTAACATAATTTATTAAATATACTAAGTGACATATAAATCCGAACACCCAGTTTAAATGGTTTTATTTTAATAAAATTTTGTATAAGTGCTTAATGAAGCATAATAAGTAAATGATAAAAATTTCAAAATGATTGCACTGCTTTAAAGTCCTTTGACCTTTAATAATGTGTGGATGCACCCTGATGTCCTACGCATTCTCCAACGCGCCTAGGCATGCTTCTGATCAGGTGGTCAATGTCCTCCTGTGGTATCTCATTCCAGGCAACCGCCAACTCCTCTCGAAGTGCTTCTAGAGTCTGAGGAGGACGTTGCAAATTGAGCAATCTCCTACCCATCATATTCCACACGTGCTCAATTGGGGATAAGTCGGGAGATCTTGATGGCCATGGTAACAATGTGACATCATTATGTTGAAAGAAGTCTATTGTGACTCTTTCAACATGTGGTCGGGCATTATCTTGTTGTAAAGTTGGATCTGCCATTGTGTCAAGATATTGTAAAAGATGGGGTTCTAGAACTTCGTGGATATAACGCTGCGCGTTCATGTTACCTCTGATGAAGATTAAAGGTGACCTGGAACCATAAGCTATAGCACCCCAAACCATAACTCCAACAGTGTGATGAACATGTCTTTCAACAAAAAACTGTGGATTCCTCCTTTCACCACGTCGCCTTCTAACCCTGGCACAACCATCGTGCATGCCTAAACAAAATCGAGACTCGTCACTAAAGACAATACTGTTCCATTCCTGATCCCAGAGTGACCGTTGTCTGCACCACTCAAGGCGATTACGTCGGTGTTCTCGAGTTAAAGGGAGGACCCAGTGTGGCCGGTATGAAAACAAGCCAAAACTTCTCATTCGTCGGTAAACACTTCGCATGCCAATAGGTCTTCCGTGTTCTGCAAACCATTCATTTGCAATGGACCTGGTAGTGGAGAAACGGTCCCTTAAGGCCAATACTCTTAGGCGGCGATCTTCACGGTCTGTTGTTCTACGGCGGCGTCCAGTGCCCCTTGCTCTTTGCGTACGGCCTTCTCGAAGCCATGCCTAACAACACCTAACCACAGTGTCTACACTTCTTTGCACTCTAACTGCAATTGCCCGAAAAGAAAGTCCAGCTTCCCGAAGTCCCACTATACGGCCCCCTATCAAACTCACTAAGTTGACGAAATCGTACAGGTCTCCGTACTCTAGGCATCGTAACCAATCGTAAAGGATGTCAAGAACCAAAATCCGCCAACGTTGATTCTTTACTGCGGCTGAAATATTCATTTTTAGAGCGTTAGTGAATTAAAAAAAAGTAGTATAAAAACCGGAATGTCCAACTGATAAGGCTGAAAATTTTTTCACTTGTTATTTACAGTAAGATAAATACATTCACCAACTTTTATTAAAATAAAACCATTTAAACTGGGTGTTCGGATTTATATGTCACTTAGTATATATACTCAGTGACGTTAGAAGTGTTACACCCACAAAAAATTATTTCCTCAACTTGTTGTTTTTCGCAACATAATGACTATATCTAATGCATGCTGTGGCAACAATGTCAACGTTTTATCTTTGTTTTTGCTACCTTTGTTAAAATGTTATCTCTTAGTTTTTGCGAAAAAAGCAGCTTCTGAGAGCTGAGTAGTACATATATTTTTAGTTATTGCCCTAGTGTTAAGCATGACAAAATGCCTCGAGTTCAATTGTCACCATGCTAGCGACTTTGACAGGGGTAGAATTATTGCCTATCGAGTTGTTGGTTAGTCCTATCGCGACATTCGCCGCCGTCGTAATTGTGCTGCAATGACTAATGCGTGTGTGTGTCGTGTGTGGATAGCAGAG